TAATTACTTGATGGACCACGAGCACTCCGGGACCCGAACCGAGTACGAGCGAGCACCCCAGGTACTTTTCTTCGTAGTTTTTAGCTCCAAATTATTTTAAATATCTACATGATGGATCAGGAGTACTCCAGGACCCTAACAGAGTATGAGCGAGTACCCCAGCTACTTTCCGTCGTCGTTCTTAGCTCGAAATAATTTTAAGTAATTACTTGATGGACCACGAGCACTCCGGGACCCGAACCGAGTACGAGCGAGCACCCCAGGTACTTTTCTTCGTAGTTTTTAGCTCCAAATTATTTTAAATATCTACATGATGGATCAGGAGTACTCCAGGACCCTAACAGAGTATGAGCGAGTACCCTAGCTACTTTCCTTCGTAGTTCTTAGCTCGAAATAATTTTAAGTAATTACTTGATGGACCACGAGCACTCCGTGACCCGAACCGAGTACGAGCAAGTACTCCAGGTACTTTTCGCCGTAGTTTTTAGCTCCAAATAGTTAAAAATAATTATTTGATGTGTCAGGAGCATCTGAGGACCTGAACAAAGTATGAGTATTACCTTAGGTACTTCCCTCCGTAGTTTTTAGCTCTAAATAATTTAAAATAATTATTTAATAAACCAGGAGCACTCGAGGACCGAACCCGAGTATAAGCGAGTACCCCAGGTAAATACATCTATAGTTTCTTGCTCCAAATAATTTTTCAAAATCATTCAACATACAAGGAACACTCTAGGAACGGAACCGATAATGCGCGAGCACCCCAGGTACTTCCTTCCTTAGTTTTTTGCTTGAAATTATTTTTAATAATTATTTAATTAAACACGAGCACTCCAGGACCTGAACCGAGTATGAGCGAGTACCCCAGGAACTTTCCTCCGTAGTTTTTAGCTCCAAATAATTTAAAATAATTATTTAATAAACCAGGAGCACTGCAGAACCCGAACAGAGTATAAGCGAGTACCTCAGCTACTTTCCTCCGTAGTTCTTAGCTCTAAATAATTTTTGCAACGTGGCCAGTTGGCTCACATTGGGTAAATGCCAATTTACCACCTGATACTAAACGTTTGCCGATAACATAGATCAGATTATAAATTAGATGATAATTGTTAATAGTACGAAAATCATTTGAGAGTGGCGCTAAACGTCTCCCCACTTCTCAATGCTAAAATATGTACGCGGAAGCCGCGTGCAACCAGTCTTTGTTCAACCCCCATAATGTATACTTCTGTAATTGATATATTTCTTGAAATATAAGTAATTATTTTTACCGTGTTACAACGTAATGTTCGGTATTTTATTATACTACACCGTTTATTAAATAATAACGGCATTTTAATCCATAATAGTACGATACGACTCTGATTATCAGTTAACAAGGATTATATCGTACATTAATTAAATAATACGACGCACATACAAGATAAATTCGCTTGACATGTCGTGTACTCAAGAGGTCTCGAGTAGTCAGCCATTTTGTTGAGGAAAGCGTCGTTCCATTGTTCGAGGAAGATCTTGGTTGATGGTCACCTCGATTATTCGTCTGTTCCTGATCCAGTAACCGGCCCAGCTGCAGCCACGAGGAATCTACCACCGCTGGACAACGTTAAAGCACACCGAAGTGGTAGTAGTACCTGTTGTAAGTCAGGTGGTATATTGGTAAGAATTGGACGCGGTATTGAACTTACTTTGAGCTGTATTTTTTCAATATTTGTATTTGTCGACCATTTAGCTCTATTTTTCTAACTAAGCGATCAGCGGAGCAGTACGCGGTAGAGGTTGGTTTTGTGTCGGAGCTGAACCCACTTTTCAACGAGTATCGCCACCCACGATTTGCCCTGGACCATATCCTTTAAGCGAATTAAATCAATTTAGCTATTTGTAGCTTTGAAAGCTATCGGCTTGGTCCGCCGTAAAATCTAAAGCTACAGGCATCTGGAGCAGCATCGATTCTTATAAGCCACGGCTTCGAGTTGGTTACACTCTAGGTGTAACGGGCGTGTCTTTTCGGCCCAGTTCGTAGAGTTTATTTAACTAAAATTTAGATAATTTATTTCATACTTAATTAATAATTTAAATAAATTTAAGTAATTTATTTTGTGAAGTAAAAATTTGTTGTCTCTACGAACAGTCGAGACCAGCCACGTTTCATTTTAAATAATTGTTTAATAAACCAGGAGTACTCCTGGATCCGAACCGAGAATGAGCGAGTACCCCAGGTACCTTTCTCTGTAGTTTTTTGTTCCAAACAATTCGAAATAAACATTTATCAAACTAGGACCACTCCAGGACCCGAACAGAGTATGAGCGAGTATTCGAGGTACTTCTCTCCGTAGTTTTTTGTTACAAATAATTTTAAATACTTATTTAATGAACCAGAAGCATTACATGACCCGAAGCGAGAATGAGCGAGTTCTCGAGATACTTGCCTTCGTAGTTTTTGGCTCCAAATAATTATTAATAATTAGTTGATGGACTATGAGCACTCCAGGACCTAAACCGAGAATGAGCGAGTACCCCAGGTACTTCCTTCGTTAGTTCTTTGCTCCGAATTATTTTAAATAATTATTTTGTAACGGGTGGTTTATTTCCCGTACGATTGGCCCTTTTATTTAAATTTAATAAAACAACAAAATAGCAACAATTGATCTTAAGGTTAATTAGGGTGCCACCAGGATTATTTTCTCGGTTCCTGGAACCGGATGCCAGAGCTGAGCTTCTTATTCTACAGGGAGAGAGAGAGAGAAAGGTGGTCTGAAATAATTATATTTTTATTAACAACGGTACCAAAATTTATTAACAATAAAATCAACAACTCGTGCACTTGCACGTACACTCCCTCGCTTACAACTACTCACTTATAACTACTGGAGGATTTCGGGCTAAAACCGGCGACTCCACTTAATACTACGACTTATAACTAACGGAGGATTTCGGGCTAAAACCGGCGACTTCGACTTGGCGTCAGTCGTCTACTCGGCGAACCAAGATGAGGACATCGCACCAAGATTTATTACCCTACTCGGCAAACCATCAACAAGTAGAGAACGCGTACAATCGCACACACTTAACCCGCACGATCTTCACACACATAACCCACGCGTCCCACATACACACTGACTCTACTTTACTATTTCCGGATTTACAAAATTAACTTCAACAATTTTACAACGTTAATTTATTATTAAAATTGACCAGTCATTAGCTTACATTAAAAACTCCTGAATTTATTCTCATAAATTAATAAATTTACTTCTCAAAATTTCCGGCTTAAACCGACGCTCCTTTTTCCTCTATTTTTAACACGAGTTTATTTCTGCGCATTAACAATTTCTTAGAATACTCTTTTGTAAAATTTTACTATGTTTTTCACGGACGTAATCCACACGAATAAATAGTTTTATAAATAATTTTTCCGGAATAATAATGATAATAAATTATTGATAATTTTTTTACAGGATATTTTCAATATAAGACTCCCCAAGCAGAAATAGGCAATTAAATTATAATTTTACTCAATGTAAAAATTACGTGCCTCAATTTTCCTGCGGGTGTATCAGACTTATCTGCATCGAAATTTAATAAATTAATTCTCAACAATTAATAACACGTGGAATAAT